TCTCTCTCTCTCTCTCTCTCTCTCGACAATTACCGCACAGAATTGACCCAAAAGAGTGGCCATTAATTAAGTAAATAATTAAGTGAAAGGTCATTTTGTCTATTTATATTGAGTTATAGATGGCAATTATAATAAAACTTATTTTTGTGCCAATTATTCAAATCAGCATAGGTTTGTGATCAACGCAATTGCTAGGTTAGGTTAAAAACTAGAACCAATTAGTTAGAATCATCTAGGTACTCGTACAGGTAATTATTAAATTTATTGTAATAGTGCACTTTAATTAATGAATTTATTAACATTCCAAATTTACAAATACATATTTATATATTTATAAATTATTTTGTTATCAAATATAACTAGTAAGTATTTATTATTTATAAAATATATGCACGTTCACATTAAAAAATTATTTGTTATAAATGAGCACGATGTATTTTTAAATTTTTCTATTGCTTTATTCCGTATTTCAATTGAAGTGTTACCTTTATTATATTGAATAGACCAACTCGTATATTGAGCAAGCACATCTCTACATTCGGGTCGCTTTTTTGAGTTCGTATTTATCATCGACTCTAAGATTTCTTTCAAAATTGCAAATTGTTTCGCAAAACTTGTCAATTCTTTAACGTCGCTGTAATAAAATAAATAAAATCTTAATTTGATACGTTTCTAATAAGATTTAAATTAAAAATATATTTAAACTTTAGACTACTTTGTGTTGCATATAACTTTAATATTAACAGTTACCTGGTAACATCAATTTCAAAAACGTCAATATTGAATAATTCTCCGGCGATTAAAGCCAGGTTATATATATCGCATTTGTGACCGTACTTTTTGCCCTGAGCCACTTCCGGTGCCATATACCTCATATCGCCGACATCTGCCGTATGTTTATTAGCGGTAATGTAGTGGACGTGTCGGTCGTGAAACTTAGCCAAACCGAAGTCGCATAGCCTCAAAAACTTACCGTTCCCTGCTTCACCAAAAATTACCAAGATATTCTCAGGTTTCAGATCACGGTGAATGATTATGGGATTTAATTCGTGTATGAATTGCATGCATTCTAGGATTTGCGCAAAAATCTTGCATGATACAAAATACTCGAACTCATTGAGAGCCTGACCATCAGTCCTGTCAAATAGTTGCGGCTTATCGTCGATAACATCGCGCAAGTTATGCGAACAGAGCTCCATTTGTATGCATACCTGGCCTTTGGTTTGCCATGAAGTGTAATACTCGACCACATAAGGGGAACGTACTTTCAGTAGACTCTGTGCTTCATTTAATGCCCACTCCTTCTCCTTGGCATTCAATCCTTTAGATTTTATTTAAAAATGAACATGCTTATATTAGTATAGATTTTTAAAATTAATAACCTTACTTATACGGTATTAGTACTTAATAAGTTATTTATGTATCATAATTGTTCAGGGGTAAATGTATTTAATCTTAAAATACGCAATATAAATAAAATTTAATCTTGATACCTTTTAAATTGATTTCCTTTAAAGCAAATAATTTTTTGGTGATTTTATGTTCGACTTTATATACGCTGCCGAAACCTCCCGATCCCATTAAATGTAGCTTTTTGAGATGGGTTTTAGGGGAGTTATTTGAGCTAGCTAAAAACATTAATATATTAAATTATATAATAATTTAAACATAATATATTAAGTTATTTAATAATTTAAACATAATAAATAATAAACATACCTAATAAATTATACCATTTCTTGCTATTATTTGAATCTGAATTTGTTATGTGTTTTAAATTCTTTTTGTTAATCTCGCGAACTATCTCTACAAACACCTGGATACAATTGTAAAAGTAATTATTTATATTACAAAATATATAATACAGTATATAATACAGGGCGGCCAAAATATGGCAGTGCTACTTTGATTTTAATTTATTTAAATATCGTCTTGTTTATTTAATTCATTTATTCACTAAATTGTAGCTGTATAGTTAGGGTTTTGTTTGGTATATGATGTGGCCAGGTCGGTATAAACCAAAATTTTATACAAGGAATATAATTTTAAACAAGCAAAATTTTTTCTACTTTTTATGCAATTTTTCCTTATATGTTTACAAGTTTAGATTTATTATAAACTGTAATTCACTATTTTCAATAAATTTATTTGATTTTGAATTAATATTCATTTATAGAGAATAAAATAATTTTTATAAAATTACAGTTTCGTAAATATTTTTATTAAAACATTGAATTACAGTCTATAATAAATCTCAACTTGTGAGCATATAAGTATGAATTGGATAAAAAATGTGAAAAATTTTGCATGTTTAAAATTATATTCCTTGTATAAAATTTTGGTTTATACCGACCTGGCCACATCATATACCAAACAAAACCCTAACTATACAGCTACAATTTAATGAATAAATGGATTAAATAAACAAGACGATATTTAAATAAATTAAAATCAAAGTAGCACTGCCATATTTTGGCCGCCCTGTATATTATATAGTGCTAAATCTACATTTATAAACCTAACCTCGCTAATATTTAGAAACACCTCGCTATAAACACTTGTCTCTGCAGATGTTTCAAAAAATGGGCAATTAAGCTCCAAAGCCAAATTAGCAGCTTGTTCCTTTTTGATAACTCTATTCCTTTCTGAATGGCATCTGTTGCCCACCAAAATTAGCGGCATGTCATCCACGTCTTTTACACGCACAATATTCTCATAAATAGACCTCAAACCATCAAACGACTCATTATTTGCACTTGAATAGACCAAGATAAAACCATCCCCTTTACGCATATACGCCCTTATGACTGAATATTCCATTGCCCTTGCTGGGTCTAAATATTCCATTGCCCTTGCTGGGTCTAAAATATCCAAGATATAATCTAAGCCATCGATTGTCACTTGTTTTCTGTAAACGTCCAGAAACCATGGTGTGGGGTCCAAACATTCAACAAAAGCACCTTGCACATAATTTTTAAGTAATTCAGATTGTCCAGCACTACCGCAACTTAACACTATTATTGTATACTGTTGTCTCACCATGCTGATATGATTAAGGCATATTTAAAATTTTAAAACATTTATAAAATAATAATTGTTATTAAATTATAATTTATTATTATATTATATAATTTATAAATTTACAATTATTTATAAATATTTGAATGTAATTAAAATTTTTATTTACTTTCAATGTTTATATTGAAATACAACTAAAATAAAATGTCTACTAATAACGTAACCTTGATATTTATAGTAAGTTTATCAAAGTTAATAATAATAATCATAACTTTTATTGATGTATCAAGGAATTAGAGATTGTTTCTCCTGGACATTTATTTATCTCTAAATTAACAAATTTTTAAAATAATAAATTTTAATAAAGTGAAAGATTAATTAATTTGTTACATATTATATATTTTAAAAAGGTTTAATGTATATAAAAGTAAGAAACACAATTATTACAATAATAATTATTCTCAATTTTTAAGTGTTAAAAAATTATTGTTCCGAAATTTTTCCAGAATTTAAGGTTAAACTGGTTTTAACTTCAAGGTTTGACAAAAATTTATCTGATCAGTATAATCTGAAGGACAGTATTGATTATCCGGGACATACAAAAAGTCATTACTGGAGTCTCTCTCTCTCTCTCTCTCTCTCTCGACAATTACAGCACAAAATTGACCCAAAAGAGTGACCATTAATTAAGTAAATAATTAAGCGAAAGGTCATTTTGTCTATTTATAGTGAGTTATAGTTTGCTATTATAATAAAACTTATTTTTGTGCCAATTATACAAATCAGTATAGGTTTGTGATCAATAACATCCTATTTATATTTTGTTATTACCATGTTTAAAGTTTTAGTGAATTAATAAGTAAATTGAATTAATAGGTTATTTAATAATTAGTGTTAGATAATTATTGTTTTAAAATATTTTATTACATAAATCGTATAAATAATATACAAACAAATTATTAATAAGATTTATAGTATTTATAATAGTTTTTATAAATTAGTCGTTTAATATATTATATATATTTTCATAGTTATTATTAATATTACAATATTATTATCATTATTATAGTTAATACAGTATATTGAGTAGAATTACAATTATAATTGAAACCCCAAAAATAAATGTTATATA